GCGCACCGTCTTGGGGAGGTGGGGGGTGGAGGAAGGGGGAGAAAAATTTTAAACTCAAAAGCATATGGAAGTGATTGTTGATAAATCAAAATAAATTCATAAAAAAATACAAGGTCACAATAAATGAATACATGAACACAAAAAAAGGATAATCAAGTACAAACTGCTCATTTGATAGATGAGGAAATTGAGGCTCCAAGAAGGGAGGTGACTGATTCAATTGTTGCAGCCACAAATTACTGGTAGACCATAGACTAAATGCCAAATCCTAATGGCTACTCTGGGAATCTTTCTTTCTTTCAAAGAGTTTGGGTCACATATAAAAAGAAGCTCCCTCACAAAGAGGAAGTGGAACCCCTAAGACTGATGAACATGGCACGTCCTTCCCTGAAGTCCTGGAGACTAGTCCTACTGTTTCCCTCTTGGCAGTTATTTTTGTTTCTCTCTTCTACCTTCTCCACATTTTCCTCATCCTCTTTCCAGTCAGTTAACCATCCTAATGGAGCTCTGGCCCCCAACTGGCAATCTCAGTAGGACCCTGGCACCTGACTGAAGTCTTCATGGGAGTTGCCAGACCATCTGAACAGTGATCTTGGAGGAATCTGCCGCAGCTCACATGGAGATGACAAGGAATTTGGGACTGGAAGAACAAACCCAATCAGTAGCTCTTCCCCTCTCTCATAATCCCAATAGTTGCAGAATTCCCAAGGAAGGGGTGGTGTTGGCCTAGGGTAGCCACACTCACTAGGAGAACTACAATGAGGTGTCAGGCTTACACTGAGACTTTTACTTAACTACCTGGCCCAAATGAAAACCACCAATCAAATCTAAGGCTCCAAGTGAGGGTACCACTTGGATTCCAGAACCCTACTGAGACTGCCAATCAGATGCCAGAGCCCCAGCCAAATTACCTAGTGGATTCCAGACTTCCAGCCAGACCATCAATAAAATCCCAGACTCTGGAAGAGAACACCAGCCAAGTCCTAGCTGCCCTGTGAGACCACCAACTGGTCAACTGGATCCCAGCAGGGTCACCTGCTACATTTTTCCTCAAACCCATCCCTCTCTGCACTTGCTTATTTCTTTTGAGGGAATCCACATTGGAAATGTAACTTTTATTTTCCTTTACTCTCTTCAGTGAACAAGTATTAGTTTTCTCTCCCTTCTAGATCCATTCCTTTCTTCTTGCACTGAAGACAGAAAAAGAAACATGAAGCACTGGTAACAAATATGCCTAGTTAAGTAAACAAAATTCCCACAAAAGTCTGAGCAAACTTCGAACGAGCAGTTTGAACCATGCTGCTGAAAGGTCCAACCAAGGAAATATTTGCAGGATAAATAATAACTTTGTGGGGGTATATCAAGATAAGGTCAAAATGAGTACATGATCTAAACATAAAGGGTGATACCATAAGCAAATTAGGAGAACAAGGAATAGCTTACCTGTCAGACATACTGAGAAGGAAAGACTTTATCACCAAACAAGACACAGAGAACATTACAAGATACAAAATGGATAATTTTGATTATTTTGAATTAAAAAGAGTTTTCACAACAAAAGTAATGCAACCAAGATTAGAAGGAAAGCAGAAAGCTGGGAAACAATTTTATATCTGTTTTCTCTAATAAAGGCGTCATTTCTCAAAGATACAGAGAACTGACTCAAACATATAAGAATGTAAGTCATTCCCCAGTTGATAAATGATCAAATCACATGAAGAGACAGTTTTCAGATGAAGAAATCAAAGGTATCTATAGTCATGTGAAAAACTGCTCTTAATCACTATTGGTTAGAGAAATGCGATTTAAAACAACTATGAGGTAACACCTCACACCTATCAGATTGACTAATAGGACAGAAAAGGTAAACGGTAAATGCTAAAGAGGATGTGGGAAAATTGGGACACTAATGCACTATTGGCAGAGTTGTGAACTGATCCAACCAGTCTGGAGAGCAATTTGAACTATGCTAACTATGCTCAAAGGGCAATCAAACTGTGTACACCTTTTGATCCAGCAGTATTACTACTAGGTCTGTATCTCAGAGAGATATAAAAAAAGGAAAGGAACCCACAAGTGTAAAAATATTAAAACAGCTCTTTCTGTGGTGGCAAAGGATTGGAAACTGAGGGGATGCCAATCAATTGGAGAATGGCTGAATAAACTGCGGTATATGCACATAATGGAATGTTTTTGTGCTACAAGAAATGACAAGCTAGTAGAATTCAGAAAAACCTGGAAAGACTTGCATGAACTGAAGCAAAGACAAGTAAGCAGAACTAGGAGAACATTGTACAGACTAAACAGCAATAGTGTGTGATGATCAACTGTGAATCACTCAGCCCTTCTCAGCTCATGATCCAAGACAGTGACCCAAGACAATCCTAAAGGACTTATGATGAAAAAAGCTATCCACATCCGGAGAAACAACTGCTGCAGTCTGAATGCAGATCAAACATACTAATTTTCATTTTGTTTTTCGTGCTTTTTTTTCTTTCAGTCTGTTTCTTCTTTTACAACATGACCAAAATTGAAATATGTTTTACATGATTACACATATAAAACCTATATCAAATTGCTTACTCTCTTAGGGAAGGGGGAGGTGAGGAAGAAAGAAAATTTGGAACTCCAAATTTTAATAAATGAATGTAAAAAAATATCTTTACATGTAATTGGGAAAAAAAACCAGTTTAAAAGAGTTTATGGAGGCTTGGGATTCTCAATTCTTTAATATAGTTCATGAGCTGCGAGGGAAAACAGGTCTAGGAGGAAGAAGCTGGTCCTACAGGCTGATGCTGGGATGGTGGGAGGGAAAACAGGGCCTGTGTTGGGGGCTTGAGAGATGTTATGACTCCTCCCAAGATTCCAAAGGCAACGAGTGGTAACCCAACCAGCCTGAAGTCAATTCTGGGAGACCACCCTACTCACTTGGGGATGACACATGTAAGAGTAGCCTCAAGAATGAGCCTGAGGATCTAAGACATCTCCAAAAGTCTCATGATGGAAAATGCTATCCACATCCAGAGAAAGAACTACGGAGTTTCACGGCAGATTGAAGCACACTATTCGCTCTTTTTTTCCCTTCTGTTTTGTTTTGTTTCTTCTTTCTTGTGGTTCTCCTTACTGGTTCTAATTCTTCTTTACATCATGACTAACGTGAAAGTATGTTTCATAGTAATGTATATGTAGAATCTATATCAGACTGTACGCCATCTTCAGGAGGAAGGTGGGGAAGGAAGTTGAAAAAATTTAAAACTCAAAAGCTTATGGAAGTGAATGTTGAAAACTAAAAATAAATTAATAAAAAAAAAGATAAGAAAAAGAATGACCTTTAGGTGATAACATAAGCAAATCAGGAGAGCATGGAAGAAATTGCCCATCAGATCTATGGTTAGGGGAAGAGTTCATGATCAAAGAAGAGATAGAGAAGTTTATGGGAGGTAAAATGGATAATTTTGATTACATAAAATTGAAAAGGTTTTGCAAAAACAAATCCACTGCAGCCAATGGTACATGAAATGCAGGAAATTGGGAAAAATTTTTATAGCAAGTTTGTCTGAAGGAGGTCTAATTTCTCAAACATATAGGGAACTGGGTCACATTTATAAAAATAAGAGTTTTTCCCTACTTGAGAAATAGTCAAAGGATATGAACAGGCAGTTTTCAGAAGAAATCAAAGCTACCAATAGCCATAGGAAAAATGCTCTCAGTCACTAATAATTAGAGAAATTCAAATTAAAACAATTCTGAGGTAGTACCTTACGCCCATCAGAATGTCTAAGATGACAGAAAAGGAAGATGAGAAATACTGGAGGGGATGCAGGAAAATAGGTCCACTAATGCACTATTGGTAGAGTTCTGAACTGATTCAAGCATTCTGCAGAACAATTTGAGACTATGCCCAATGGGCTGTAAAACTGTGCACCACCTTAGAACCAGCAATATCAGTACTAGGTTTTTATACCACAGAGATCAAGAAAAAGGGAAAAGGACCCACATGTACAAAAATATTTATAGCAGGTCTTTTTCTGGTGGCAAAGAATTGGAAACTGAGGGGATGCCCATCAATTGGGGAATGGATGAACAAGTAATAAGTGAAGTGAGCAGAACCTGGACAATAATGTACACAGTAACAGCAATATGGTAATGATCATCAACTGTGAAAGATTTAATAACTATGATCGATAAAATGATCCACCACAACACCAAAGGACTCATGATGAAAAAAATATGACCCACCTCCAGACAGAAAACTGATGGACTCAGAATGCAGACTGAAACATACTTTTTTCCTTTAATTTTCTTACCTTTTTTGGAACATGGCCAATGCAGAAACATGTTTTGCATAACTTCATATGTATTATGGATATGGAATTTCTTGCCTTCTGAAGGGGCTAAGGAAGGGTGGAGGGAGGGAGGGAATTTGGAACTGAAAATAAAAAGAAAATTTAAAAAGAAAAAAAAAAAGAATACCCCTTGGCACCAACATGTCCTCTGGGAGCAGAACGTGGGTAGCAGAGAGGCTCTAGACAGCACTGGCTCCAGTCACTTTAAACTTTATGAGCAACAACCCTGTGAGGCAGCTACAATGCCCACTTTACAGATGAGGAGAGGTGGAATCTGAACCAAGGTCTTCCCAACTCCAAAGTCCAGCACTCTGATATTAACAAAAGAATTAGAGAACTGACAGTGGGAAGGGAACTCAGTGGCCATCTAGGCCAACTCACACAGAAGGAGTCCCCGATATAACACTCTTGACAAGTGATCATGCAGCCTCTGCTGGAAAGGGGAACCCCCACCTGCAAGGCAACCCATCCCTGCTTGGAACAGCTCTCATTCCTAGGAAATTTTCCCTGAAACTTGGCCTAAGTCAGACATTTTGCATCTTTCCCCCACGTGCTCCTCTCCCTCTTTCAGCCAGCCCCCCACCCTCAAAACAGCTCACATTTATACAGTGCTTTAAAGTTTACAAATGTTTTACCCACACAGTCTCGTGCGAGTCTCAGGGGTGCAGCTCTGGGGCCTGGGGGCATGATTTCCAGCACTTTGGCATCCTTATAAGCCCCCGTGGCAGGTGTACTGGTGGCAGAAGGCCAGTGGCTCCCTGTGGAAACATAAGGTGACATGATGATGCCCCTATCAAGGATAATAATTACCATAATGAAGTCTCTATTTAGAAGGCTGAAGTTCCTCAGGGCACATTCCCATCCATCCCCTCTGCATGTGTGTGAGGAGGGGTACAGAAAGAGCTGTGGAAAATGATTTAGGGAAGTCATCTTGTCAAGCCTGAAAGGGTGGGTCATTTGATTAGGCTTTAAATGGCAGGGAATATTGAACTTTAGCTAGCTTCCACTAGAACACGAGCTCTTTGAGAGCACGAACTGTCTTCCTTTCCTACCCAGCCCCCCCCCCCGGGTGTTTAGCATAATGCTTTGAGCATAGTAAGTGCTTCCTAAATGCTTGCTTGCTTCGTTCATTCGTTCCTTGGTTTGTTCACTTACTCATTTGTTCATTCACTGTCTCAGGTTAGGGCTGCACATCACTGGGCCAACTGGTATAATAAGGAAGTCCTTCCTTAGGTCTCTATGTTGGAAATTAAAATTAACAGGGGTCGATAAAAGAGTTTTGCCATTTCCCAAAGGCAATCCCTCCCTCCCTCTCGTCTCTTACTCCTCCTCCTCCTCCTGCGTAATTCTGGGCTTAGGTAGGCAGTGTCACTCACTCTGTCCATCACTCCATCCCTCCATTCCTCCAACCCTCCATCACCACATCCGAAAGGCGCCGGGGCTGGGCAGGAGTAGGGGGACGGCACGGCGGCGTGGCACGAGGGGGGACTGCGACACCCCGCGGTCCCATCACGAAAGCGCCCCCTCCCCTCCCCTCGCGGCGGGGCTGACGTTCTGCTGGGGTCTCCTACAGACACGCACACACATCGCCTATAATCGGGGAGAAGAAGAGCCATCAGCCCAGCATCGTCTGGGCATACAGGCAGGCTGACGTCACCGCGCAGCTTTCTCCCTGGACTTCGACTTGGAGAGCAGGGGAGAAGAGAGGAGGGGCAGCGCCACGCGGCTCCCGCGCCCCCTTCCTTCCTTCTCCAGGCAGCCAGCGGGGGACGTCGGGTCGGGGGGGGGGGAGAGGACGGAGCAGGGGGAGGGACGAAGGGAAGGTGGGGGGCGCAGTCACGGAAGGCAGTCTCTATGGTGAGGAGGAGGCGGCGGAGGTGGAGGCGGAGAAGCGCGACCGCAGCGGCCGCGGCGCAGGTACCAAAGTACAGGGAGACGAAAAAGGTGCTTTAGGAGGCGAATCTTGGATCTGCTGGATGAGGAGCTGCTGCCTGTTGGCGCCTGAGGCGCCCCCGCGGCGCGCCCCGCCTCTGCCCACCATGCCCACTGCCCATGCCGACCAGAGCCCGCGGATCCGGGAAGTTTGGGCTTGCAACCTGGACGAGGAGATGAAGAAAATGCGACCGGTTATCCAGCAGTACAATTACGTGGCTATGGACACGGAGTTCCCAGGTGTGGTGGCCAGACCCGTGGGAGAATTCAGAAGCTATGCTGACTACCAGTACCAGCTGCTGAGATGCAATGTGGACTGGCTGAAGATCATCCAGCTGGGACTGACGTTTATGAATGAGCAAGGAGAGTGCCCTCCAGGAACCTCCACGTGGCAGTTCAATTTCAAATTCAATTTGAAGGAGGACATGTACGCACAAGATTCCATCGAGCTCCTCACCATGTCAGGGATCCAGTTCAAGAAGCACGAGGAGGAGGGCATCGAGGCACAGTATTTTGCGGAGCTCCTGATGACATCAGGAGTGGTGCTGTGTGAAGGGGTGAAATGGCTTTCGTTCCACAGTGGTTATGACTTTGGCTACTTCATCAAGATCCTCACCAACTCTCCCTTGCCCGAAGAAGCCCAAGACTTCTTCGAGATCCTTCGACTCTTCTTTCCTGTCATCTATGACATCAAGTACCTCATGAAGAGCTGCAAAACCCTCAGGGGTGGACTGCAGGAAGTGGCTACTCAGCTGGAGCTGGAGCGCATTGGCTCCCAGCACCAGGCAGGGTCCGATTCCTTGCTCACGGGTATGGCCTTTTTCAAAATGAGAGAAATGTTCTTCGAAGACCACATTGACGATGCCAAGTATTCTGGATACTTGTACGGCCTTGGTTCTGGAGCATCCCACGTCCACAAGAAGGCCCAGAGGGGGGCCCACAAAGGCTTCCAGAGCAGCTTCCAGAACGGCTACCAGAACGTCCAGTATGTCCACTATGGCAGAGAACCAGTATGGAGAGCAGACCAGCAAGCATTCACGAGGTGAAATAGAAAGCAGGGCTTCATTATTTTTTCATGCCTAAACCCGTCTTTTTATACAGGTTTTTATCTCCAGTTAAATCCTTGGTCAAAATAAGGCAGTTTTTTCTTAACCATACCTTCTCAACCTGTTTTCTCTTTTGTCTTTCAGTACTAATTATAACCATTCCTTCCTACCACAGATCGTGATAATTAGAAGGGTTTTCAGGTTGAATTTTGCAGTGTATTAATTAATCCACCTGTTAGCAAGTATGTGTGGTCATGGGGAATAATCCATATAATACTCAATCTTTTGGTAAATATATCTAACTGGTCCTAGTTTGGCCCCCCATCCCTCCTCTCCTCCCATTCCCAGATTAACAAGCACTGACTGTAACTTAATACCTTGTTTCATTTTTGTCTCTTCCAGTATGCAAGAGATGCCACCGTTTGAGGCTGAGGACCATCAATTCTACACCTATGGAGAGTGAATCAGCTCAGATCCTGTTTTCCTAGAAGGTTGGAGTTTCCTTGATGTTTGCCTGAAAAGTGATCATCTCCAATTTCACACAGCATTCCCTCCTTTTGGACCCATGGAGCAGAGTATGTTCACTGTGTTGTAAATTGTTGACTCAGCTTAAGCTAACCCAACAAGGAAAAGAAGAACTTAGTGACTGCTTTTCCTGGTCTTTCATCTTCTAAGCACCTCTAGTGTTCTTGGTTTTAAATTGCTATATGTATCAGATCGAACTGACTAAACGTTTCAATCCAGCTTTATACCCTTCAGCAAAGTCCCCTGTGACTGGCTTTTCAAGATCTGTCAGGGAGCTGGCATCCAAGGAACGTCAGCCTGAAGTTCTGTTGACAGCATCTTTCCTTTTATCTACTTTTGCCTTTTAATTCTACTAACACTTCTTCTTTCTCCTTCCCCCTCCCTTCACCCTTTTAATATCATCATGTTTACCATGTGCTTGATTTGATGATTCTGCAAGTCAACTTCATAATAGAAAGTCCAAAGAGAGCAAAGTCACCTTAGGTATATTTTATACTAAATTAAATTTGAAGAAATAAGATTGTGCTTTTGTAGTTGCTAGAAAGACAAAACTAATTCAGAGTCTAGTTGTACAACAACAAAAGGTCCCCAAAATTAACTTGAATAATATTAGTCATCTGAGGGCTATGATGATTATTTATTTTTGTGTGTATATTTTTGCCATATATTTTCTATCTATTGACAGAAATAACTGTGAAGTACTTTCTTAGCCATGCAGAGTATGTGACCAGGCCATATCACGTGAAGGAAGAATTTGGTCATGGGTAATTAAATACTAGTCAGAAATGATGGATGGCAAATGTGTATGTGTATGTTACCTGCACTTCAATCAGTAATATTATCTGTTTGCCAGATGAGCTTGTCTCTCTTGTCTTTTAATACCCTTTTCTCATTAAGTTTGCTAGAACCTTGACTCAGTGGGAAACATGGATTGAGTGAACTTCAAAGGAGGAAAAGTTATGGGGTGTTGGTGGTAGAGGGAGATGGCAGTGGGGAGCAAGGAGTATTCCAACTCCTCCACCTTGATGAGGGAATGGGAGGGAGGGTGGGAGGGGAAGGGGGAGGGGAGAGTGGGGAAATGAACGAAAGAGCAGCCACAGCCAGGTCTTGGTGAGTGCAAGAAGAAAGAAGGAGTGGGAGAGGAGAAGGTGGTATCACTCTTCATGCCCAGTATAGTGCCATGCACACAGCAGGCATTTGAGGAGTGTATGGTTCTTAGACTCTCTGTCTTCCTTCAAGGCTCAGGCAAAGGGCACCTTCTGCAGGAGGCCTTTCCCAGCTCCCTCAGCTGCTAGTGCCTTCCCCTCGCATATTGCCTTCCACCTACTCTGTCTATATCTTGTGTGTACCTATTGTCTCCCCTGTTAGAATGTGAGCTCCTTGAGAGCACAGATAGTGTTTTTGCCTTCCATTGTATCCCCAGCGCTTAGCACAATGTTTGGCATACAGTAAGGACTTAATAAATGATTGCTGACTGATTGCTTTGTCTAGTGTTTATTGGGAAGTCCTCCCCCAAGAAGCTCTGGCACGTCCCTGGGAGGCCATATGTAGCGGGGTCAAACCCTGGCTGTTTCCTGCTGGTCCTGCCACCTTAAGAGATGGTCAGCAGGGCAAGGCTCACTGGGACTCATTCTCCCTGGCCCAAACCCTCCTGCCCCTTGCATGCCCTAGCTCAGCATGTGCAGCTCAACAGGAGGCTGGCTGAAGGACTGGTCTGGGCTTTTTAAGCCTACAGCACTGAGCTCCAGCTTCTCCTCTTCTTCTTTTTCCTTCCTGTTCTCCTTTCTCCTCGCTGATTCCTCTTCCTTCTCCCCTTCCTCTCCCTCATTCTCTTCTTTCACCTCATCTCCTTTTCCCCCTCCTCCTTCCTCCTCTTCCTTCTCCCTTTTTCTTTCCTTCCTCCCTTTGCCTCCTCCCCTTCCTCCCTCTCTTCTCTTCCTCCTCTGCTCATCTCCATCTTTCCCTCCTTTCCTTCATGCTCTGGCTCCTGGACCCTGGTGTCAGCCTGAAATCCCCTGCACCAGCTACTGCCACAGCCTTATTCCAAGCTGCTACAGAGCTGGAAGCAGATCTCCCCTTCAGCAGAAAGGTTCCACGAGTGGGGCATTGAGCAATTTGCTGAGCCCAGAAAAGGGGAGAAGCCCTAAAGGACAATGTGCTTTAAGGAAAGAGGTGGGTAGTCTGGGTTCCCTTCTTGGGGGAGAACAGGCCTCAGCAACGGAGGCAGAGTAGGAGGCTTTGGGAAGAACTGAAAGAGGATAATGGGTGTGGGGCACAGGAAGAAAAGTTTTGGTCACACACAAGGAAGAAGCCCTCATATGTTGACAGTGTTTTCTGCCTCCTGAGGACTTTCACACGCCTTTAGTCCTTCCCCCCTCACCTCACACACACACACCCAGCATAATGAAGTAGATGGGGCAGGTATTAATACGCCCATTTTAGAGAAGAGAAAAATGAGGCCTAGAGAGGTGGAGTGACTTGCCCAAGGTCACAGCACTAAGGAAGTGGCAGCCCTAGGTTTCAAACCTAGGTCACTGGATCCTGTGTAGGATGCATGGTATCCTATTGCATAAAAGCAAAAGTCACCACTGTAATTCTGTCAATGAGATGGTTCACACCCAAACAGAAGAGGGCTTTTCTTTGTCTGCTGGTGGGGAGTGGAAGGCTTGTTACTTACTAGTGAGCACCTCCTGCTTACTAACTGTGTGAATTTAGCCAAGGCTCTTCCCTTCTTCAGGCCTCAGTTTTCCCTCCTGCAACCAAGGGTCTTCTGTCACTAGAGCATTTCTAAGCAAGGTCTTCTAATCCCCAAACCAATGCTCTTTCCGTTACAGCCCAGATGTTCATCCTAGCCTCTTTCTGCAAAACTGGAATATTGTGCTTTACCAGGGTCCATCACAGCCCTTTTGACACCTGCCCCCATCCGCCCACTGAGTGGATGATTCCCTTTCTTTTTTCTCATCTTCCTATTCCACTGAATGCTCTCATCTACCCAGCCTTTGGAGCCCACCAATGCTGGCTGCTCACTGACATTTCCTACCCACCTCCCCCACCCCTTTTCCTTTCCACCCAGAGCCCCTGGTACCCAGCTCCCAGGGATGCAGCCTCAATGCCTGCTGTGAAGCTTTTATCATCCCTAGATCCCTGGGGAGGACCACACTTCAGGACAACATCTACCCAGAGGCCAATCCTGTCCCTCAAGCCTGGGCTCATCAATACAGCAGTTTCAAAGCACA